AGAACAGCTTTGACTACTTTCTTTTCCTCATTTCCTAAACAGGCACAGAATTGCTAAGGAACAATGGTGGCTGAAACTCCGGCCCCTGATGAAAATTCTGGCCAAATACAAAACTAGCTACGACGTCTCCGATTCAGGGCAGCTGGAGCACGTAGCGATGCACAGACCGAAAGAAGCAGAAACTGGGGCCATCTAAAGGAATCCTTTTAGATACAGTTGTAATAGACCTACATTGTGTGTAACAATGCTTTAGAATATATTGGTTACAGCTTTGTTTTGTAACACTTAAATTATTGTATCAGCACTTTATGTGAAATAAGAATTTAAAATCTCAAATTCCTTGCCCAGTATGTCTTAGGTTTAACAGAAGACCTAGCATCTAACATACAAGCACCAGTTACCTAAGCAATCCTTTATCAACAGTAAGTGCAACATAATTCTATGCACTCAGTGGGATAATCTGTTCATTTATTGCACTTCGTATCCAAGAGTATTCACACTCCAAGTATATGTAGAAGGCTAGCTTTATGTCAAATTACAGGTTATGTTTATGTACCCGAAGTGGAATAAAGTACCGTTGCAAACAAATAGCATGAGTATTTGTGTGTTCTTCAGTGCAAGTTCTACTTCACTGCTAAGATACCCATGTAGTACTTAGTTTTTAAACCTTAAGCCAGGGGTTCTCAAACTTTGTGAGGCTGTGACCCCAAGCACTGGATAGCAGGAGGCACCACCGCCATCTACCACTCAGCGTTTCCCTGTGCATACCCCCTGGGAAGTTTGCAGCCCCCTTTTAAAAGTTGCTTGTGACCCCCCCGGGGGGTTGTGACCCACAGTTTGAGAACCCCTCCCTTAAGCTATGAAATGATATTCTGCTTGACCTCATGTTCTACTTTTGTAGGCTGGCCGTTTCATGGGTAGCTACTTTCAGCCATTCCTGCTCTGCAGCTTGGTTGTTAGGACAATATTCTGGGACGTAAGAGGATTTCTAGCACTTGAGGCACGGGGAAGGGAAAGTGCTTGCAGTACCAGTCCTGAACTGCCTTAAGAACAGCTGCAACTTCTTTTGCAACATCCACACTTCAAAACAGTATTCATTTTGAACGCCTTTTTCCTCTTCCAGGGGGGTATGGAAAGTTACATGTTAAAATTACTGTTAGGCAACTTACAGCAGCCATTGCTCTGGGCAGCAGAGGATGGACATACCTGCACAGCTGCCTGTTTCTTCTAGAGACCAGTAACTTTTCTGATGCAGGAAGGTAACCCTGAAATACAGCCAGAGTTGTCTGTGATCCATTATGACATTCCAGTTTTACCGTGAGGGCTAAGTCACGTTAATAACACTTTTTTTTTTTTTCCCCCTACACCATGGCCATATATCTATTTGTCATGTTGATTCATCATATTTACCTCTGGCCAAACTTTACTGAATAGAAGAAAAGACCTTACACAAGAGTGCTCAACAAAATAGCAGTTTATGAATTAGTTACCTACAGGGGACGCATGGTTGTGGGGAACTGCTGTTACAGGTATTAGTCATGTAATATGTGGCACAAAAAACCTGAGCATTTATCCGTATCCTCAAACTACCAAATAGTAGTGCAAATAGTCTATTGAACCAACAGCCCTACAACAATGCAAAACTTAAGTTTCCTATCTTGTTACGCTGTGAAAAATTCATTGTACCAAGAAAGAACTACAAAGGACCAGTTTAATACTTAAAGCTCTTTATATCCAATAGCTGATGTTTAAAAAGACACTGTAACAGGCATGATTTCAAATAAACATGGGTCAAGTTCTACTTTTACAAAAATATTTCATTTATATAGCTTGCACTTGTGCCACTGAGGGTAGTCAATAGGTAGAAACCAAACCATGGATGATCAGGTAGCTTTCACTTTGAAATCCTAGGCAACTGTAAAGACAAATCTTCCTTCACATAGTTGAATCAGAACTCATGGGTTACTGGAGAAAAAGCAGCCAAACAGCTTGTTGCATGTGGAGTGCAACTTGGACCACTGCAGGCTTAAAAATAAAAAATTCTAATACGCACTAAAGTCATGTGAATCTGCTTGTTTTGGAGTTGAAGCCAAATGCTCAGCACTAACTCATCGCTTAACCCAAGAGGGATCTTTGGCAATGTCTGCATTTTCTGGGCCCAGGATAGCTAGACCTCGTGTGCTCTTCCCAGCTGCCAGGTATCTGCAAAAGAAAGTTATAGTGTCATTCTATCTACTTCCAACTGCTACATACTAGAAAGTAAAGACCCCATCCATCTACTTTCTGCTCTGTGAAAGTTCTCATTTGCATCTTCTCAATTACAACAATTGCTTTCCATCATATGTCCTTTCATCAGGTACCTTCCCCATGACCAAGATTACTAACCAACACGGAAAAAAAACCTGGAGAAACATGCTGTATTGTTGAAAAATTCTAAGTGATCAAGCTTTTTGGTTTGTCGGTTTCTTCTGTTCCTCTGTCACATGACAGTTATGGGAATACAGGGAGAAGGTGAAGATCTCAGAAATCAAAGCGCAAACTGTTTCTTAAATGTTCTTGTTTACAGCCACATCTCACCAGGCCTGCTTTTAAAGCAGATACTGTAGTTATGAAAAATCTGTCTGCAGATGGATGAATTTAAGGCATTTCTTCCCTCCTTTCCACCCAATTATTTGATGTCTCTTCATTTTTCTGTTCAGTACAACATCTAAGTCCTATCTGTTTTGGAGAACAGAATCAATCAAGGGTATGCAACAGGATAGAGGAACCCAGGTGGGAAATGCCATCTGGGAAATGCTATGCTGCAACAACTCTTGGCCACCTCTCAATTCTCCTAGGCTGAAATTCAGAGGTGAACTAGGAAGTTTTGCACCCTGAGTGTCAGCAGGTGGGGTGGTACAAAAGGCCAGGTGCAACAGCTGCTGCCATTGTTGCACCCCCTTTTAAGACAGCCCCCAAGGCTGGTACCTCACTCACCCACCCACCCCAGTAACATTAAATTATAATTTCAGCAGTAGTATAATTTCATGACAAACAAAGAAGCTCCTGGTTCAGGATTCATCCCATAAAATCTCTAGAAAAGGATCTTGTTCTGCCTTTTAATATGGAGCCAACAGATATGATGCAAGGCAGAGATATCACACTGCTATTACTCATCTTAAGGGAGGAGTTCACACTTCATACATCAGGGAAAGCAAAATCATCTGTTTTCTGTACTCACTGAAACCACCTACCCCACTGGGCACAGACCTGAGTAGTTAGAATAAGCTCAGTCTTAGGCTTATTTACTCACAAGCCCCTCTCCTCAGAAAAAATCATCCCTCCAAAACGCTGGAGTAGAAGCATGCAGACACTGCTCTAATGACTGCTATTTCTCTCCAGCCCCTGCAAGCAGTCCTCTGTTAACCCTATTCCAGCTGCTGGGAAATTTGCAGTAGCATGGTAGCTTGTGCTTGAAGCAGTAATTAAGCTATCTCTGGGCAACTGAACTGCTGCACACAGTCTCTAGTATCTTGATGAGGCTTGGGATGTGGAAACAGTACTTTATTATATATAGGAACTTATATAAAAAGCTATTTAGAGTAGAGAACTAACAGCCATGCTCCTGTGTTTGCAAGTGTCTGAGGCCTGGCCTCGTCCTGCCACACGAGGAAGTTCCCATCGCTTAACCCGGACTGTTTCCTGGTACGGCACACTTCTTGGATGCTTTGCATTTCCAGGCCTTATGTTACATCATGGAGTCAACCATAACTGGAAAAAATCTTTTTTTCTACTTTCTGCCTTCCCGAAACAAGATGCATGTCTTATTTGGCGGGGGTGTATGTGAGAAAATGTGGTAGCTCTAAAAGGATCTGCCTCAAGTGTCATGGGGCCAGGAACATAAGCAAGGAAGAACCTGGCTCTGTAGTTTTGTGGTTAGATCTTTCAGCTAACGGGAAGTCTTGGGCTTCAGGCAGACTCCCAGCATTATTTCTGGTTTTTATCCAGTGTCAAATCCAGTCCAAGAAGCAATGATGAGGCAGCTACAAAATGCTGGCTTGGATTCCCTTTAGTCCAAAGAAGGGCAAGAACAGCATGTCTCTCACTTCCTGGCTTCAATAGTCTGTGCTGAGCTCATGCTGCTGCTTCAGTGCCCATAAAGGACTGGGCTCCCTGCAGAGCTCCACTTAGTTTCTGGATCCAAGTGGGGTTTTGGAAGGAGGTAGATGCCTCAGCTCAGACTGCGGCAAAACAGGCATGGACAAGGCAGAACTGCAGGGAACCCCCGGTGCAAAGAGTGAGGTACCTAACAAGTTGAGACATCTCTAGTGTCAGGAGGCAGCTGAGTGACAGATTTTGGAATCACAATTTTGGATTTTAGTACCAGTATGTTCTGTATTGGATGCCTCAGACGTTTTTTTTTGGTCCCTAATTGGAAAACAATGACTCAGGCATAGTGAGGTCATGATGTGAATACAGAAACAACTACTTTATAGTGGGTTAAAGGCCACCAGAGAGAGATGGCAATGGCTTCTCCGGGAGTTTGGTGAGTCAGACTATTCCCAGCAATTGAAGCATTTTCCTCTATCAGATTCTTGCAAGTAAACCTAGTCTGCATTTCTACAATGAGCACAGACTCACTTGTTTGCCACGTCCATCAGGTTTTCACGGCTCACAGCAAAAAGCTGTTCCCTGTGCATCTGCTTCATCTCATCAGAGATCCCAAACAAGAAATGATCCATTCCTTAAAATAAAAATATGACTTGGTAAGTGTCAAGTCTTTAGGCATCCCAGGATAAAAGCAGACATGTGCACTCGATAAACCAAAGAGGGAGAAAAAGGAAGGAATACATCCTTCAGATAGGTAATGGTCATCACATACAAGCCGTACATCTTTCTACTTAACAAGGGTCAACACTGAAGTCAGAGAACAGGAATTCTGTTCTGTGGTCGACAGTTTGAATTATTTTTCAATTTGAAATGCCATATTGTGACTAACCGCAGATATTTCTTCTTTTTTCTTTTTGCATAAGATCATTACAAAAAAAAATAATTTATTTGTATAAATTAAATTTTTGTCTAAAACAAAACAAAAAACAATACATGCTAAGAATGCCAACCCTGACAGGAGGTTATATAAAAAGTTATTTACAGAAGAGAAGTAACAGCATTGTCACTGCCTTGCAAGGTCTAAAGCCCAGCTTTTTGCCATCCTGCTTTTTCTAATGCTCTCAAATGAAATTTTAGCCAAACTGAGTTTCAGGGAGATATTTCAGTTACAGCAGAACTGTTGTTCCAAAGACAAACCCTTCTACTCAAAGTCCTAAAACAAAGATGTGACTCGTGTTTCTTTTTCTATGACATAAATAATTATGAACACAAACACAGCCATATTTCACCTACACAAAAGTCATTTCACTGAATGATCAAACAGCTTCCAAGCAATCATGCATAATGTTAAACAATGACCCAAGGAAGCAATCGGCATGTGGTTATGATATGGTATATTGTTATTCAGTTTTTGTTTTCCATCCTAGCTAGAAGGAGAGAATTGGGGCATTCTGTTCCCCTTCCTTTAAGCTTCAGCGGAATCAGGAACTGGAAGGGACCC